CATCAGCAAACATGCCCATCACAATCATGTATCCTAAGCCTTGCTGACTTGCCCCACTCTGCTAAGCTAGCAGCGGATACTGGAGTTTTCCCAGCCGGTTGTACACAGGAGGAGAGTCAGCAGAACAGAAGCAAATGGTAGGTCTATGACATGACATATTCAGTTTTTTTAAAGAGCACCATTACTCTGAATCATAGTTCTAAGAATACTCCTGCCTAAGCCCTTTCCTACATTCTGCCATGCGAAAATAAGCCCCAGACCCCAAGAGCGGTGGCGACATAAGATAAGTCAGGAATCCGTAATGGTGGCCTCTTTTGGGTGATGATGATGGTGGCTCATAATTTCCGAGCACTTCAACTTGGCCTGTTCATGGAGGAGCAGACAGAGGGTTGCAAACTTCACAGGAGAGCCAGAGACAGATGTAGTCAGACACAGGGGGGTTGAATGGGGGGTGGCAATGGAGGGGCCAACTCATGGTCACAGTTGCACCCTCACTAGAGGATTGGAGGTGCACATCTAATGAAAAGCTGTAATCAAGTTTCTCATGTTAACCTCCCACACCCAGTAAGGCTGACTTGCCAAAATACTTCTCTTATGACAGAGGGTTTAGTATCCTGGAGGAAGAAAACAATGAGTGGAAGAACAGTCCATAATGCATAACAAAGAATGACACATAACAACCAGTTGTTCTGTATGTTGGTAGAGAATATCAGTGATCCATGTGGCAGACAAGTAAACCTGATGTCATGCTGGTAGAAGGCCTTTGAAATGCATGAAGAAATAAGATTAGACCTATCAGGTGAATAAAGGCTGATGTGTGCCTCCAGGCACAAGCCACAATAAATGCTTTTATAATGTGTATGATATTTCCAGTGTGAAATTTTAAAGGGGTGACAGCTGGATCGTACCTCTTGCCAAAGATGTGAACCAGTTGGTCAAACAAAGATGATTTTCAGCAGCACGAGGTGGCAAGTGAACAGCAGAAGTGGCATGCTCACTAGGGAGGCATTTGTTGATGAGACATCTGTTGGACTGTGACTTACTCCCCTTCAAGACATCTTTCAGTAGACCAAGGCCATGACTCAGGTCTGCACCAGCTGCTGGGCCATAACTACGTAGATCCATTTCACATTCTTCCCTATGACTCCTATCAGGGTCAGTGGTACAAATGCAAAGGTTCCCTCAAACCCAGAAGTAAATGCAGATGGCCGATTCTTATCTGTTGAGCTTTTGTAGGCATGGACTCAAAAAAATAAATTTTCCTTAGGAATTGAAGATCTGAGTGATTTTACAAAAACACATTTAATTAAATTGTAAAAGATAGACTGGTGACATCTATCGTGGATACGTGCCCCAACAGAAAGCTTAAGGATGCAGCCACTATGAACATGGGCTTGTGTATGCTGTCATCACGACTGACTAATTAAATAAAGCATTACTGCTAATGTACATAAATTCTGTTAGTAAATATCTATACTCTTATTCCCTCTTGCTGGGTTTAAGTCATTGTATTGCAGCAGTGCAGACTTTTGCCATCTTTTGAAATCATCATGAAAAGCAGCATGTATGAACAAATCTAGTAGAAGAGAGGGTAGAGAGGGCATAATTCTCCTTGTCATCTGAGACAGCATTCCTATATTAGACATGCTAAACCAGATCACTGCAGAACATTAAGCCTGACAGCAGCGCTTAAATATTTGATGCACTCTGCTACTGTGACATAAACCACCAAACTGCTGTAGCACCAGCTAAGCTGACAATTTTTTAAAATAGTTCTCAAAAGTCAGTTTTCAATCACATGGAAGGAGGAAAAAAAAAACAAAAAAAAAACACTGCTTTCACCAGTTATGCTGCGGTGGATTAGTCAGCAGGGAGGAGAAGTATGTGTTTTTCAACAGGTTGCTCTAGATTAAAAATATATATATCATAATAGTTGTCTCACACATACACAACACAGCTGACCCAGCACACAGCCAGTAAAAATTGGCGTGGCAAGCCAGAGGATATATGAGCCTACCAGTGGGCCTGTCATGGTTCTTGGACAGCAGAACATGTAAACTTTCTAACTTTTGACATCCATATGAACCCAGACTAGAGGAGGAGATGGATGGAAGCACTGTACACTCAGGTAACACATCACTACCAAGACAACAGTTGGGACAGACAAGGCTGTCCAAAGCACTGTTTTCGGTGCTAATTAAAAATAGACCCAGGTTCTGTGAAGCTGGCCTGTATGCCTTCTGGTTGTTCTTGAATTAGACAAGTCAGTTTCAAGTGAAACTGAAAGAGATTCATTAGACAGAGCAGCACATAAGAAGAGCTGTGAAGCAGAAGCTAAAAAAGGTACACAGAGGTCACACAAACAACTAACTACTGTTGCCAGCTTTACGGGGTGGAAGTGATTATTTGTGGTACAGAAAACTGCTGCAGCCTTCACTACATCCCAAAAACGCATTGGACAGGCACCCCAAAGAAGGACAAACACACATTTCCTCATCGATAGGCGACATTCTTCAGTCTGCGCAGTTAAGAGAGGTTGATGAGTCTGACTTTGAACATGTGAGCCCCAGAAAAAAAAAAATATGAGTTTTAGGACAAGAAAACATGTTCCGTCATGGGGCCCACTGTGTGGCCAGATAATGTTTGGATTATAAAAGACAAAATGCTGTAAATTACCATGAAGAGCCATTCATGAAAAGCCAAGTAAAAAAAATGCCACTAACTTAATTGGCTACAGTGACATAATCTGCAATGTCTTATAAATACAAGAAAATTTGATATAACAATCGTCTCAGAGCATGTAAAGCCCTAAAAATGTGTATTCTGACAGTTTGATTTAAGTCTAACCTCAAACCCAATTTAAACCAGTCCCTAGTGCATATGGGCACCTGCCTTTAACATGAACATGGCCTCAACCCTCACCCCATCCCTGTCCCCGACAGCCACATCAGCCAATTGTCAAGAGCAGCTGAGGCATCCCTTCACAGTGCATCCATCAGCATGCATGCGCGCGCGCGCGCGCACACACACACACACACACACACACACACACACACACAAACACTGGTATTCAGGGGGATTTGTGCAGTCTTGAGAAGACCCCTGACTAACATCTCAAACTTTCACACAGCTATATTAAGAGTTATGACTGTTAGCAATATGCTTATGACTTCCTGTGTCTAAAGGACACTTGTCACATTTCATAGAGACCTGTGTCACCTATTGTATAACAAAGATCAAGTGAAACCAGAGGACAACATAATAATTCATCCAAAACACTGAGCAGTCTATAAAGTATGCGCTGATTAAGAAGGATTCTCTTTGACCATTGGTCCTTAAAGTCTCATGTTTCACAACCTTTGCTATAAAACCCATTAACCTCACCAGATAAGGCTAACATCACTTGGGTCCAGCTGTACATGAAACAAGCATTTAACCTATCATCTAGTGTCTGGCATCACCCACCAGTCCTCTATCAGTCCAACAGCTTGTACGAGTTAAACATTTACCTTAAAATGGCACAATAAAATCATAAATGCTGAGCGGCTCTAGATGCCGTCAACAATAAGGAAGTATGTCACTTTCTGTTCCCTCTCTCAGTTGTACATCAGTTTCAGGTTGGCCTACACCTACTAGGTAGGCAAAACAGTCTGCAAAACTGAAGCACTGAAACTCTTGACTTGAGACACAAGAAAAACACTGGCCTTGACAGCTGTTAAAAATGCACGACTTTCCTCCAAAGATTTTATTCTCTTTAACTAGAATCAGTTACTACACATTATGTCAAGAAGAGCAACTCCTTTGTGCAAAAGAAAACTATAAATCGATGTGAATGACATGCAGGTGCAATCCATTAATACGGAATTATAATCTAGTGATCCATGACTGAAATCGCATGGGCAGGCTTCTTAAAATCAATCTTTAGAAATGGCACACTTTAGCAGAGACACATGGGTCTGCTGCCTCTCACTCATGCGCTCTACACACGAGATGACATCATGTTGGGTCAGCTTGGGGTTTTATGCTCATCTTGATATCTACATCTGCCATTTCGAGCGCATCATGTTAGCCTAAATTTTCTTTTAACGCTGATTATTTAAGCAAGCAGTGTCCTGCATGCAGGTGATAACGTAATGTAGCTGTCACGCCAGCAGGACGTGTGGTTACTGCCTTTGTAGTAAATGAGTGCAAGCCAATATTACAATCGAAATCGTATAAACAAAAGTGTTAAGAACGCCAGTGAAGCTAGGCTGTTAACCAGTGCAGATGAGCGACGTAGTAAAATGTGGTTCGGGTCATGTGTAGTGGACGTTACGGCCGAAAGCCATTGTGACGGTGCCTTGATAGTAAAATCTCACTCACAACAATGTAAGACGCAATGGAAGGTACCACATATATTTATGGATATGAGAGACACTTACAGACTGACCCGCATTACATGACAATGTTTAAACACCACCTCGGACAAGTTTAGCGTCCAGCCTCCTTGTTGTCTTTAAAACCCCTCAACTGTATACTTACAACCTGGCATCTATTTGCCCCTCATACTTACCCTCCGAGGAACAAACCAAACAGCAACGCGTCTTTCCCGTCAGTTCACTGCGTAAATATCCTAAATTCAACGTAGATTTTTAGCAGGTGCAAAGACATCATTCAACAAACGAGCACTTCGCTCCAGACCGTTAAAAAGCAAACCTACGCACTTAACCTCAGTGAGCGGATGCTGGTGTCTGTACTCACTACCGCTGAGTGGAGTGGCATGCAAACAAGCCGAACAACGTCGAAACCTGGCGATGGTGGTCATTTCAACTTCAGGTGCGCCCTATGGAGGCTAATACTATTTATAACCACTTTTACCGCTTTGACAGTTAGCCTCGGTAGCTTAGCCGTTGAGACAAGAGGAAGTGTCAGTTTGAGAGCGCGAGGCTGTAGCACGAGCTGTTAACCGTTAAGGAGGAACAAACAGTAGAAGCAACAAAAACACAAAGAAAGCCGCTCACCTTTTTTTTAAAACCCGTCGTTGTTGAGAAACGTACGCACTTCAGCAGCATTTAGTCCGAATCTAAAGGTGTGACTTCATGAAGTGCTGTCAGTTGGTCTGGACTTCCTGAATGACGGAACAGCAGGAGTACAACCCCTCACCAGTGTTTGACTGACGGGCGGAAATAAAGTTGTCTGGTACAGTGAAGGGGTCGCCGAAGGATGTGCACTTTGCTTTTTGTACAGAATAAATACCAAATGTATTGTTTTTCAAGTATCATGTGCTCAACTCATTAAACCAAATTGAACACAAAAATTGAAATTACATAGCTCTTAAATAATCAAGCTTTAATGAGAAGTATTAATATAAAAGTTATCACCAACAACCCTTCACCTTATTTCTTTTACAGTTCATTAAAGATGCAGGGACAGAGTCATCCCGATTCTGTTGATGGATGATAATCCAGCTCCTCTCCGGGATATACTATTCAGTACAATGCTGCCATCTGCTGTTGCACATTTGAAGTTTAACCGTGACACACTTGCACTGAATTAGTTCATCAGTAGGCCATCAAAAATGTATTAAGACCACATACTGCAGACAGAATAATGTGCCGGGTATTATGGCTGAACTGTGCAGTTCGTACAAAATATAACGCTTATTAAGGTGGGAAAACACCCCTTTATTTACTTTATGGTTTTACTATAATTTTTGTCTAGTGTTCAAATTGGTCAAATTAAATTAGTCAAAGTTGGTTCCAGTAAAAAGCCAGGTTTAGAAACCAGGTTTCACAAACTGGATTGGATACATTCAAACACTACATTTCAAGATTTAAATAAAATCTAACTTAACAGGAATAAGTATCTGAACCTGAATGGAACTGATGCAGATGGTCACTGATGATGTTCTCTTCATATTTTGTCATACATCCAAAGGTCTAATTTACCTAAAATTATACTTAGTAGCCCAGCTGTTCATATACTTTTATTGTCAATTATTTTTGCAAATAATCAATGTGTTCCATCAAACATCAAAAAGGTGAAAGATTACAGGTAGTTTCCAGTAGCCCAAGAACACACTCAGCACAAGTCCTTCAGGCCCAGGTTAAGGACACACTCCAGGTGGAGGCCAGAGCCTTATCCAATAGGCTGTGGATATTATGTTACCAGGTTCCTTGGGCCATCATGCACAAGCCACTGGTCCCTGGTATTAACACTCACATTATAATCGATTTTTATATGTTCAGTTTCTTTGTGTGAAGTAAATTCAGAGAGTCAGGTGTTCTGTGCATGCTTGATTCTGTCTACTGAGCCTTAGACTGCAGACAGAATGGCAGACAAAAGTGAAAAATGCCTGTTACAGTTTCCCAAAAGATGATGATGAATGTCTTTGTCTAAAACACAAAACTCAAAAGACATTGTTTATCACAGATGACCAAGAAGAACAACAAATATTCAGATTTGAGAAGCTATATTATAGATTACTTGATTATCAAAAATAGCCTCAGATAATTGTCAGTCAACTGACTGATCATTTCAGCTCTAGTCAGAATTAAAATAAATGGGCTCTGGCACGCCTCTGCAACGTCGCATGGCGGTCGGGGACAGTGCCTCTGGACTGGCAGACCGGGGTGGTGGTCCCTCTTTTTAAGAAGGGGGACCGGAGGGTGTGTTCCAACTGGATCACACTCCTCAGCCTCCCCGGGAAAGTCTATGCCAGGGTACTGGAGAGGAGAATTCGACTGATAGTCGAACCTCGGATTCAGGAGGAACAATGCGGTTTTCGTCCTGGCCGTGGAACACTGGACCAGCTCTATACCCTCTTCAGGGTGGCGGAGGGTTCATGGGAGTTTGCCCAACCAGTCCACATGTGCTTCGTGGATCTGGAGAAGGCATTCGACCGTGTCCCTCGCAGCGCCCTGTGGGGGGTGCTCCGGGAGTACGGGGTCCGGGGCCCTTTGCTAAGGGC